TCAGTTTGCAGCAAGCAAAGGGTGACACCCTCAACTCTGGTGGTCCCCGGGTGCTCCCTTACTGGACACAGTGGCTCCCTGGCCACCTTAGCCCTGCTTCCTCCATCCCCAGAGGGACTGATGGCCTTTCCCAACATCTCAAGCTGTGCCCTGTTTCAGGCTGCTCCCAGCCCTCGGGGGCAGCGGGGATTTATCCCAATATTTATCCCAATATTTATTTATCACAATATCTGAGTTCCATCAGTGGAGGAGGAGCCGGGCTGTCCCCTGGGAATGGCCGAGGACAGCAGTGGGAATTGGGATTGGCTGACCCTGCTGCTCCAGTGATCCCTTTGGCATCCAGAGCAGGAATTCACAGAATCCTGGAATGTTCTGAGTRGGAAAGRACCACAGGGATCATCARTCCCACCCCTGRCCCTGCCCAGACCCCCCAACAACCCCACCCTGTTCATCCCTGGCAGCGCTGTCCAAACGCTCCTGCAGCTCTGGCAGCCTCGGGGCCGGGACCATTCCCTGGGGAGCCTGGGCAGTGCCAGCACCCTCTGGGGACAGAAGAACCTTTCCCTGAGATCCATCCCAAGCCCTGACACAGCTCCAGCCRTTCCCTGRGYTYCTGGCCCTGTCCCAGATGCCCTCACGTCCTTGCTAAGTCCAGGACATCCATGGACAATGCCCTGATCAATCTAGGGTATTCTTTTCCTCCAAGGACTGGGAACTGTTTGAAAATGAATCCCAAATGCTCCTGGGATGTCCCTGATTCCTTCCCACAGATGAACCATTTCTCCAGAGCTGTCCCAAAACGTGYCCCTGTCCATCAGGGGTGTTCATACAGGATTTCCAGATAAAGGATCTCACCAGATCTCTGCTCTTCCTTGGAGTGCCCAGGCTGGGGGATGCAGAGGGGCTGGGAAGTGCTTCCAAACCGAACACACACCCAAAGGGCACAAATCTGGCCTCTCCMTGGCTCACTCTGGTGTGATSCTGGCATTGAGTGAAGCAAGAACRCCTCCCACCATCTGAAACCGAYCCTYGTGTGCAAATCCTGCACAGTTASAKGGGATATTGGGAAGGAATTGTTCCCTGGGAGGGTGGGGAGGCCCTGGCACAGGGTGCCCAGAGCAGCTGTGGCTGCCCCTGGATCCCTGGCAGTGCCCAAGGCCAGGCTGGACATTGGGGCTGGGAGCAGCCTGGGACAGTGGGAGGTGTCCCTGCCATGGCAGGGGTGGCACTGGAKGRGCTTTAAGATCCTTTCCAACCCMAACCATTCCWTKATTCYGGTACARCTCAGYCCTGGAAGAAATWAWAGGATTTTTCATGACTTTGCAGGATTCCACTCTCACCCTTTGCTAAAATTTAAAATCACTATTTCCAACATTATATTTTTTTTTACCTTGCAAAACAGACTTTATTTTTCTTCCTGTAAATTTTGTGCAATATACATCTATGTACCTACAGAACACACCTCAGTAAAAAGGTTTTCATCCATACATTATATTACTTTTTATTTAATGTTATGAAAAATTCTGACAACAGTTTTGTCCTTAAATAAACATTTCTCCCTCCCCTGCCCTCCCTTCCTAAGCTGACTGGTCCGAAAGAGGAAATTTTATTTAGTTATTTTTTTTTCTTTAAAAAAATAGAAATTACAATCTTACAAGACAGAACATTCAATGAGAACAGAAGCATTTTCCTAAATCTAAAAAGTAAAACATTTCCATAAAACCTGTTGGTATCTACAGGTAGGTGTGTGTGGAGGGTGGTAAATGGAAATAAAAGGTTTTCCATTTCATCCTTTCATTCATAGAGATAAAAAATAACATAAAACCGACTGAAACTTTATATATTTTTTCTCTTTTGCACCAACATTCACAAGAATATATATTATATATATTTTTGATCCATCTTTATACACAGTGTGAGGGTTCTGTAGGTGGAAATGGACACTCAGCTAAACTGCCAGAGCAGACARACAAACACTAAATTAATCTTGGTCTGGACAGGAGCCATCGCTGGCGCGGGGCTGTTGGAAAGGAACATCCCACKCTGGGATGGGAACGGCTCCGAAACACCGAGCACGGAGCCCGGAGCTCCCGCTGGCTGCAGGGGAGAGCAGAAATCTCCCTTTTTCGAGCATTTCTGCCCAGGTTTTCTCGCTCGCCCTCTCCCTGCGAGCTCGGAGCTGCGGGTGGCCCAGCGGGGCTTGGGGACCTTGGCACAGCCCCGGCGACCCCCGAGCCATGCGCGGTGCCCGTCCCAGGCCAGCAATCACCGAATCGACCCCGAATCACTTGATTCCCCGTCCCAAGAAATCATCGAATCAAGTCGGTTCCTCTAAAGCGAACTGAAAAGTGCAGGTTCCCGCGGTTTGGCAGGTCGAGTCACGCGTGCTTAATACTTCCAGTCTTTCCTAAATTCCCACGGAGGGGGGCTCTTATTGCTCGGAATAATCCAGAATCTCTCCCCACGGGAATAATCCAGAATCTCTCTCCAGGGGAATAATCCAGAATCTCTCTCCAGGGGAATAATCCAGAATCTCTCTCCAGGGGAATAATCCAGAATCTCTCCCCACGGGAATAATCCAGAATCTCTCCCCACGGGATGGCCGCTGCGGCCAAACTCCGCCCGTTCCCGAGTTAAGGTGCTTTCCTGGTTTCTTTGCCGGACGAAATGAAGTCGGTGGCGTTGACCGTCGGTGCGTGCGTTGGCTGG